TGCCTGCCTGCCTGTTTGCCTGCCTGCCTGTTTGCCTGCCTGCCTGTTTGCCTGCCTGCCTGTTTGCTTGCCTGTTTGCCTGCCTGTTTGCCTGTTTGTTTGCCTGTTTGTTTGTTTGCCTGTGTGCCTGCCTGTTTGCCTGCCTGTTTGCCTGCCTGCTTGCCTGCCTGCCCGCCTGCTTGCTTGCCTGCTTGTTTGCCTTCTTGTTTGCCTGCTTGTTTGCCTGCTTGTTTGCCTGCCTGCCTGTTTGCCTGCTTGTTTGCCTGCTTGTTTGCCTGCTTGCTTGTTTGCTTGCTTGCTTGTTTGCTTGTTTGTATAGTTGGTTATGAAAAGATAAAATCTTAATTTGACTGAAAAAATAGAAATATAATGGCATTTTTGTACGCCTACGAAATATAGTATTATATGAACAATATTAACTGATATTCAAATATCCATATTTATATTCATTATCTTCAGTAGGTGCTTAAATTATGCAATTGATTCTCAGCAGTGAGGAGGTAAGACAGTTAAATACAGTTTACACATACCACTTGTAAACTACTAGCTTAAAGCCATATTTTATCATCGACCACTTCAAACCGAGCTTCAAACAACGGATTTGACAATTCACTATAAAAGTATTAAGCAAATCTGTCAAGGTACTGTACCGATTGTGTGTTTATATGATTTGTAGATCACATGCATCTGTAATAAAAAAGCTCTCGGTTAGAAAAGTAGATTTGGAGCAAGTCTAAAATCTGATATGTTTTGTCCACGTATAGGGCAGCATAAAGTCATTCAAATAAACGATTGTAAAGAAAGTTTGTAGAGTATTGTTGACTTTGGGAAACAGTTATTCATTTAATATGGGCACCCCTTCCCACTCCCAATTTTGAGGGATCTGGAAATCCAATAGAATAGGGGGGGTTCACCTTAATTTTTCCAGGGGGTTGTCGCCTTTGGGATTTTAAACGAAAATGGCGGTGGGTGCTTTGAATTCATGGAAAAAGCTTCACAGAAAAAATTTTTAATAAATTGTTCATTGCAAATGATAAATTTCGCCCCAAGGAACGGTGACCATTACAGCACTAGCCAATTACTGCGGCCCCAAAGTCCTTCTAACTATTTATTATCTCGTGGGTTTTAGGAAGTTGACAATCCACCCACTTAATGACGTGTATTCTTTCTTCTTTACAACGTTTCCGGCGTTAATTGATGTGCTTGAAATCACTTACAAGTTCTACGTGCGAGAACAGGAACATTTTCTCTCAATCGAAAGTGATCATTTTAAAAAGTAAAGTACAAGTTATTTATAAGCTGTTTGTGGCACATTTTTATTGCTAACCATGTCGAGTTCTGTAACAGCGCGGGTCATAACTATCATTTCAAAATTGTACTTCCGCCAGTAGTCTGAGGGAATTATACAATGAATAAATTTGACCATGGGCTAATTCAGTTTACTCTTCTCGACAAAGCAAGACAAATATTTGCTAATTTCTCATGGTCAAATTTAATTAAAATGTAATCAATTTGACATTGGGCAAAGTTCATTATAGTTCCGCAAATTTTCGCATTACTGTAAGAGGAGTATCTTTGTACGCTACACGTAACACGCGCTCAAAACTATAATGAACATTGAATACACCTTTAATTTCCACTTGGTTCTGACTAGCTATATTCAATCTTTTTAATTATTGATATACATTTCTCAGGCGGGAAGCAAATTTAAAAAGTATGTTTAGTGCTTTATCTGTAAAATCATGCCAAAATGAAGATGTTTTAGATGGTACGCCAAAGAGAAAATGATGTCTGAAGTTCAGTAAGTGTTGCTTATATTACTGTCGAAAAATATGGCATCAGTTTTGTCGACATTGATGATAATTGTATTTAAATAGACAATATTTAACTATTATTTTGTATTTCTCAACCGCCAGATACATTTACATTTAAAAAGGTTGCTAATTGTGTAAACTACAAAATAAAACTAATACAAAGTAACTTCGAGAGGAATGCCAAAAATATTTTAGATTTTGAACACTTTTCATCGCAAATACACACGCACATGAACGCGGATGGAAAAGTAACTTGGCGGACGTGATTAGTCAATATATTATCTTTAAAAACGAAAATAAAACTTCAAACTGAAACTAAAAATGGAAAACGAAAGTTTATTGTCTGGAATTACGTCCTATATCTGGGTTTATATAGCTTTGTACATTTGATTTTGATCATTTCTCATCGTGCTTTCTTGGATTCTAGAAAAGCATGGCGACGCATCAATTTTCTCCGAAATTGGAGGAGAAGAGGCCAATATCCGATGCTTTGGTTGACGATGGACACAATATTATCAGTGAAAGCGATACGCCATTGTCAAACCCAGACATGAGTGCTTACAACGACAGCGTACCTGAGTTCAATGACGCCGACTCGAAGGGCGAAGGTAGTTTAAGAAGCGCTAACGAGCCCGGCAACAATGACGAAATAAACACACTACCCGCTGATGACGAGGAAAATGTTAGAAGTGATAGCGTGGTCAACGTGAAATCTGAAGATGAAGCATCAAAGGGCGCGAGTGATGAGGCAGATGGTAATTTTTTACCAAAAATCTGGCGGGTGAGTGTTTCTGCTTTTTTTCACTTTGTACTTGTTCAGCTGACACAAGCCACGACAGCTTATTGTAAAAATAAAATACTACCTATACACCACACCACCACGTTTAAGCTTATTGTAGAATGCTACCAAACAAACCCCAACGTTTGAGATATCTTTTTCATGCAGTTCGGACACTAACCACGGCAGCTTATTGGAACATACTATCTATACAGTGGGCCATCACGTTTGAGATATCGTTCTCAGCCATAGTTTCAGACAGATATTTTAGATCGAGAACGCGGACGTCAAAGACGACGTGAAAATGGCGTGTTGTGCCCATGTAGGGATATGCCACGTCATTTGACGCCATTTTCACGTCGTCTTTGACGTTAATTGTGTGTTACGGACACGGTGATTGGGCTCATTGTATTCTCGTATAATGAAGTAATCGTCCAATCGTCCAATATAAGAATACCGTGAACATCCGAAAATAAGCCCCCCCGAATATAAGCCCCCCCCCCCCGTGTATAAGCTCACCACATCTACTAACGCTCACCTCATTCCAAATATAAGCCCCCTCCCGAATATAAGCCCACCCGAATATAAGCCCACTTGTTTATCACTATTGTTTATCACTATTACCACTATTAATCACTATTATTACTATGCTTAACACTTGTTTATCACTATTACACTAACACAAAAGATCGTCCATGTATAAGCCCCCCCCCCCCCCAGTCTCCCCTTGTATAAGCCCATCAAAAATCGCTTACGAAAGAATATAAGCCCAGGGCTTATAGTCGGAGGTTTACGGTATAGTCTTGAACTATCTGTGCCAGTGTAGATAGTGCCAATAATACGAACAAGATTTCGTTGCTAGGGATGCAACTACCTCAAAAATATAAGGACTGAGCATTTCGCAGCATGAGCTCCACCTTTGAATTTACTATATGAGTAAATTCTTAAACACGTCCGAATTTATCATTATGATAAATTCGCGGCAAATTTTGAATTTATCATAATAATAAATTCGCGGCACCTAACACTAACTCTAACCCCAACCCTAACCACTAACCACTAACCACTAACCCCTAACCCCTAACCACTAACCACTAACCCCTAACCCTAACTTTTTAAACTTTTTAAATTTTTTTAACTTTTTTAAAAATCTAATTTTTTAAACCTTTCTTGATTTTCAAAACTCTTTTAAAACTTTTTAAAACTTTTTTGGGAACTATTTTTTTAAAAACTATTTTCCCAAAAAACTTGAAAAACTCCCCCATCCCCGCGCGACACACCTCCCTTCCAGTGCCATTACATTTATAGCAAGAAACCTTGTGTAATGCTTGTGGTTTTAGGATTAACTCTATTGATAAATTCAATGTGCCGCGAATTTATCATCATGATAAATTCGGACGTGTTTAAGAATTTACTCATATAGTAAATTCAAAGGTGGAGCTCATGTTGGAATTTCGACGTTAGTAACTCCAGACGAAGTGCCTTTGCTCGGAACGTCGAAATTCTCCTCATATTTTTCAAGTAGTTGCACCCATACCAACGAAATCTTGCAGGGCTGTAGCAAGATCGATAATTGGGAGGGGGGGGGGGGTGTATATTCATTCCCAACGGATTTCTTTTGAAAGCGATTGTTTTTACGGTATGTGAACATGAATATATATATTACTATTCATCCCCCCCATCTTGCTATGTGGCCTTGAAAGCTTGTTCAATATAGGGATAGTCGCAATAATTATAATATTGAGTCAAGTTTAGAGAACAAATCTGTGCACGACACAGTTCAAAACGTCAAACAAAGGTCTTCTATATTTTGTGACTTTGATGCATCTTATCTTGACAGTTTGTACGAGTGCAACTCGTATAACAGTTTGTAAACACAATTTGTATTTTAAAACACTTTAGGAAGAACGTGACGACGAATTTCTTAAGTCTTTTGAAGTACAATTATACAATTTAAATCAACAACCCAGCAATGAAGGAGGATTTCTAAAAATGGAATTGGATGGTGATACTGGATTGAAGGTCACTACAACTGGATTTCAAAAGGATGCATATAGTAAGTATTTGGTCATCGTTACTGTGTTTATCCTAGCACGTCGTTAATGCGCCGATGTGTAACATCCCCCCCCCCCGGGCACGAAAGGGGCATTTGCCATTCGTGATTTTCCCTACAGGCGGGCATTTGTTGTCGAGAAAATTTAAAGTGGTGGGGCATTTGATTCCACTTATAATGATGATGGGGATTTAACCAGAACTAAAAAACTTTTAGTTCACCCAACATGAAGACTATTATAGATTGGCTCGTTACCCGTTGACACAGAAACCACAGGTTTACAGTCAATTTCATGAAACTTTGACCACAAATGTTCCGAACTTTGTTGCGAAGTTCGCAAGTTGGTTCACAGGGAGCCCATTCCGGGTCTTATTGAAGTTATGTATTAGAATTCCGTATGAAATATATAGCTCAGTGTTGAAGCCTGCGATTTGCGGGCTGTGTGCGGGCTAACGCGCGCGTTACCCTGAAGTAAAAGAAGCCAATCAAACTTGTAGTTTACAAGCTGGTTTGTGAATCTCGAGGTTCGGAACATTTGTGGTCAAAGTTTCGTGAAATCGACTCAGTCAAAAGCACAGATTTTCGAAGTCAAAATGTGAATTATGTTCAAGATTAGTAGACCAGAATCGACTGGGGAAGTTGAATGTTGAAGAATTTTAACCTTCAAATTAAATTTACAATGGGGCATTTGACCACCACTTAGTTGTGGAATGTAGGGCATTTGAACTTCGTTTTTTGACTTGGGATGGGGAATTTGATCACTGTCAAATGCTCTGGTATATGCCCGGGGGGATGTTACACCTCGTCTTGATAGGCGCATAATCAGGGAGGGAATCAATCTCATTTTCGCAGCTAAAAAATGTTGTTAATTCGTACATATAGAAAGTGCCAAATATTGTCATGTTTATAATGTCAGTTGCGAGTTGTGTGTCAACGTATTGCCTAATTAGAATTTAGAAAATTGAGGCTTTCTCGAGGTATGAACAACCGAATTGTAGTACCGGTTAATACTTTACATTGCTAAACCATTTATTTCAACCAATTTGTTTTGCCATCTTCGTGACGTCGCCGTCTTACATGCGCAAACTCCCCATGTATGGTCAGGGACGTAGCGACGGGAGAGAGATCAGATATAGGCGGTGTAACACTCCACTCCCCCACCAAAAAAAAACAATTTCAGGAAAATTGCTATGTAATTCAGCTTGTTTTCAGCATTGATTGGCAAACGTGCAGGTTAAAAAGGGAAACAAGCTAAGAATGCCAAATTTTAGTTGCGTATCTGGGATTTCTGAAGGTTAAAAGCTTCAAAATTTCCCTCCGTCCCCTGATGCGCCCTACTTTATTATTTTACACTGTTCATCGCCGAAGGGAAAAGTTGACAGGGTGAGTTGGGATAAACACAGTTAGGAAAAATAGACAGATTTAGATCGAGGACGCGGACGTCAAAGACGACGTGAAAATGGCGTGTTGTGCCCATGTATGGATATGCTATTTTGACGCCATTTTCACGTCGTCTCGTTCTCGATCTAAATCTGTCTAATATCTCAATATTGTTGTAAAGATAAATAGTCTTAGGCTAAGTAAGTAACATAAATAATCGCAATACTTGATGTAATCGATCACTGAAACCCCCAATGGGGAGTGAGCTGAATAATAATGTAATGTAATGTAATGTAATCTAATCTAATCTAATGTAATCTAATGTAAATTATTTTGCTATTGTCTGACGCCAGACGATTTTATTGTCAAGGGGAGAGTGCTGCCGCTCAATGGGTTAATCTACTCCAGGAATGTACT